CCCCAGTCCCGTGCCCCCCCCCCCCTTCCCCTCTCCAGCCCCTGCCCGGCGCCCCGGCGTTCACCCCAGCTGCTAATCCGTCCCGCCTACAGCACCTGCCGCGTATCGTTCTCATGCCCTGGTTCTGGCTTGTTTCCATGCTTTCCTTGGCCAACTCGCGCTCTCAAAATCTCACTCCCTCCGCCCCAAATCAAGGCCCTCCTCCTCCTCACTGCCTCTCTATCTCTATCCCCCCCCCTCTCTCCAGTCTCTCCCTCTTTCTGCCTCTTGACTATTGGCTCTCCAGCTCCTCCCAGCATCACCGAGACAAAATCTCACCTTTTTCGCATCGCACATCACTCCTTTCGTTTGCCTTATTGTCTCCGTCGCGTGCCAAAGAACAGTTCATCAATCAACCCTCCTCCGCCCGCAGTTGCTAGACATTGACTGTGGCTCTCTCCCCCGTGACGAATTGCAGCCCCCGTCAGTTGTCTAACATTTCGACCGCAAACCCTTTTCAGAGCACCAAACCAACGGATACCGCGACTGCCGCTTCCCGACCCAAGACATCAAGACCGTTGTCATCACATTGTCACATAACGCTCGGTTTGCTTTTGCGCCCTCAACTGCTTGATTGCCTCTCCGTCGATCTTCGCCTTCGCATTATCTCGCCTTGCTTGCTGCCCGCGTACAGCCATGTTGCCCGTCTGCATATAGCATAGAGTCTGCCGTCCTGTCTCGACGCCTATGACAGACACCAATCTGTCCTGGCTCCTCGAACCTCTCCCTATCTCTCTTGCCGCTTGCCGGCTTATCATTGTTGTCGTCGCCGCTCGAAAACGCGGCCAGCTACCGTCACCATGAAAGTCGACACCGCCCTGCTACTCGCCGCAGCCTTGGTAGCTTCACCAGTATCTGCCATTGCGAGAAACGGTAAGTGGCTACGCCCCTCGCTAAGCTTTGCGCCAATTGGAAACGAACTCCTTGCCTGAGACAGCTCTATCCGCCTCGCATGCGCGCATATGCAAGCTTCCGCCACCCACACTCCTCCAGTTGCTGACTCCCGTATCTTATAGAAGTCCCTCGCAGGAGCTCTCCACCATATGCCATCTTAAACAGCTCCTCAATTGCCACACAGCCTGTGCCTATATCGAGCACCACATCATCAGACACCTCGCTGACGTCCTCCTTCTTGACCTCATATACTGACGAGTCATCTTCAATACAAACATCTTCCACAACTACTTCTCCGACCTCCTCACCAACTACCTCGTCAGCAACTTCATCGACTACCTCTTCAACAACCTCGTCCATCGTCACTTACAACCCCTCCACCACTTCATCTTCTTCCGATGCGACACCTCCCTCGCAAACTTCTTCGACGTCGCCCCCAGTGTCGCGCTCTACCAAGAGCCATCCCACGACAAGACGGAAAACGACCGAGAAGACGGCTCCTCACAAACCGCTGTCCACGCCGGGCTCGCCAACCAACGTCACGTCGACAGCAGGCTCCAATTCAACTGCAACGCCTACCAGAATCAACACTGGCAAAAATTCAACATCCAACACAAACGGGACTTCGGACATGCCGCCACCTCCGCCCAATCTACCTTCTGGCTACACACTCACCAGACTTCCCTGTAACTCGACAGCAACTAGCATACCAAGTCGCAATGAAACCACATCGCGGGGCCCGCCACGCTGTAAGAATGGCAGCTCCATCAGCATCGTGCCCGCATGCACGCCGTTGCCCCTGTCGAAAACGTTCACTCAATATGTCGTTGTCCATACCTCCACTGTGACTTTCAGTGGACGCAGATCAGACTACAGGCCACCTTTTGCCCCCATATCCACACCGAATTACTGTGATCCCAACCTCTACCCAGCCGTTCCTCGCCCCGCGACTTCCGGCAGAGTTTCCTTCGGATTCATGGGCACCATGTCAATGGTCACCGAGACCTTTACTATCGAAGGAATATCACTCACTGCAGAATTCCCACTTCCTCTACAGACAGCAATCGCTCGTATTCCCGTCACGACTTTCATCACTACGGACAAGAATCCCTCAGTTGTATTTCCATCCGACACCATTCCTGATTATCGCCAGACCTGGTCGCCTGGCGGTAACAACGACGGTTCTCACACACCAGTCGGCGGAGGAGGAGGGGGTGCGCCTGCTCCCGACTCTGTTGCTCCCTCTTACGTCGTCACTGCTGGTCCCACCGCAGTTGTTATCAATACCCAGACTTTCACAGTGCCTCCAGGTAGTAGCACTACTGTCACACTTCGAGACGGCGGAGTGTTCACCATCGGCCCTACCGCCATCGTCGGTCAAGGGTCTACCATCGCCCGGCCCCCTGCCGTAACAGCAACTGGCTTGGCTTCATCCGTCTTGGATGGCATACCCGTCACGTCCGTAGGCCTCAGTCTCCAGATCGGCGGAGGCACATTCGCTATACCCATCTCCGACTCGAATACCGTCACCGTCAACGGCAAAGCCGTGACTATCAGCCCCACTGGCATCACTATCGGCGGCGACAGCATGGCATACACAAGACCAGCCGCATCGGATGTTGTCGTTGCTGGCGGGGAGATGCTCACAGCAGTGGGACGGAGTGTCGTTGTCCTTCATTCCGTCACATACACGTACGGAAATGGCATCGCCCCCGTTGTTCAGGTCATCAACGGAGATACAGTCACTGTTGGGCCGTCAGGTGTCTTTGTCCACGGCACAACACTTGGTGGAGCATCCGCCGAGCCTACTGATACTGAATACGAGATTGTTGGCGGTGCTACCATTGCCAAACTCCCTCCTTCCATGGTCATTGTTAATGGAGAAACCTACGCGGTCGGTCCCGGGGCCAGTCAGAAAACTGTCGTCATCGGCGACCAGACCTTGACCGTGGGACCCATTGGTCTTGTCATGGCCGCTACTACGATCAAATATCCATTCGACCCCTCTGTCACCACGACGATTGCCGCTCGCTCAACTGGTCAAACCTTGCCCCAAGAAACGGGCAAGGAGCAAGAAGACGCCGCGTACTCTCTACGACCCGACGTACGCGTCGGGCTTACATGTCTTTGCATTGCTTTTGGCGTTTTAGCTCTTGGCTAGACTTCGATGATATACTCAGGCTTTGCCATTTACTCAGAGCATGAAATGTGTTTGATGATTACTAATTTGCGTCTTTTTTCTGGTTACATATTATTTCTTTCTGGGGATCGGACTGGCCACGACGATACGAGGTTCGATTTGAATTGTACTATTTTACGACAACTTGGGTCCAGGTATTCGGGAAGACAAGAGGAGAAATCTCTTGGCGTTTTGGTTTCATTTCTTTTTCAGCATCACCGTCGTTAACTTATACAGGCGGCTTGGCATTGGGGCTTTTCTAATATTATACAGAATCTTTGAAATGTCAAGGACGACGCATATATAAAGAATATAAACAACAAATTCAATACATGATGATAATGAAACGCAATGTCGCGAGGATCCAATATGAAAATGACTAGTATCACCAAAAAAGGTTACCAATTGAAGGGATGACAGATGCCAATCACAGAGGCAACTTAAGGAAAGCCGACTTCATCTATGGAAAAGATGAAGGCTGGTTGGATTAACCAAGTTACATCCAGTGTTTTTCCACCCGAGAAAGAGGAAATACGAAGAAAGACTGCGAGCAAAGAAATTTAGAATTCGAAATAGTATAAAGTAATGTGTCAAAGTGATGCCTTGAAACATGGACGGTGTCCATGGCACCACAGCAACCACCATCATGTCAAAGTGGTTGCAAAAGGGTACACAACAGGGTAAGCGACGCTCGTCTATGAACGATGTACCGAGAAAGCAATAGAGCAAGCAACGACAACACACAAAAATTCGGTCAACTGTAAATGCGGACACCCCGAGACCCATCCAGCACTACCACCACCACCCCTCTTCACCATCTGGTCACGCCCTTGCCCTTGCTGACGGAGGTGTCTTTGCCAGCAGATAGCGGCGGAAAGTCTTGGCTGGCCTGCGCGAACGACGACTCTCGGTCGCGGCGGCCCTGCCGTTGCGCCTGCTCCTCCTGCTGCATGCTGAGGCTGAGGGCAAACGCCAGGTCAGCGTCAACATCCGCAGGTGGTGCATGCGCAGAGGCCGACGAAGAACTGGCGGCCACGTCGGGCAGGATGCGCGGAGAGGCGGTCGAAGTCGTCGACGGGCTTACGCGTCGGCTGCCACCACCACTCTTCTTCTTACCACCCTTGGTCTTGGCCTTGTAGGTGATGGGATAATCAAACTCGTCTGTGCTGCTGCTCCGCTGTGGAGACTGGCCGCGGTCGTTGACGCCTTCGAGGAGTGACAGGCGGATGGCCTGCTGGATCTGCTCCTCGTATCCGTCTTCGTCGTCGCTTGTCAAGTTCTGCTGCAGGGGGCTGGATTCGACGAGGCTGGCCTCAGGCGTCGTCGCGTCGGCAGTGCTGTGACTCGTCACCGAGGCCGTGTCTCCGCCGCTGGTGTCGGCGGCAGAATCGCTGGCCCGGCGCATTTCGTCAGCCAAGAAGCTCTCCTGCGAGACCATCTGCATGTACTCGAGAGCCTCTTGTTCCGTGAGATCTCCAAGGGCGCCGACGCCAAAGCGTTTGCGCAAGCGCGTTTGCTCACGAGCCCGATGCTCGTTTTCATGGCGCAGCTCTTCCTCCTCTTCCAGAATATAGCCAGATACGTTGCTACCGAAACGACGACCCGCAGCACGGCCCTGAGCATCTGGATGTCGCACGCGTCTCTTCCGACCTGGCGCGTTGCCTTTGGAACTATACGACCAGTAGCGCATAAAAGCACCAAACGCCACCACACCGCGGAGAACCGTAGGGTCAGAGTCCAGTATGATGGCCCCCGTTGCATGGTAATCTGCAGCAGTCAGGGTAGGGTTCATGGAGATCATGTGGCGCGGGATTCGGCCGTTTGACCGAGCATTGAGGGTGCGAATCGGGTCAGCGGTAGAGGCGAGAGGATCCCAAGCTTGAACGAGGCCATCGCTGCCACCATGGACCAGGTACAATGCCGAGGCAGCAACACACGAGATTGATGGTGATTCCGTCTGAATGATGCGGCATGGCCTGACCGTTTCAGCGCGGATCTCTCTAGCGTTCCATACGATGACACTGCCGGAGCTCGTGCCCACGATAAGGAATCGAGCCCTGCGGCCTGGGATCTCTTTGATGACTCGTTCTCCATCTGCATCGTCGGATACAGTACTTTCGCTGTCTACATGCAGAGGATCTTCGTTGAGAGTCATGATAGCAAAGGCTGAGTTGTCCAAGGCACTGGCCGTGATGATCTGGCTATCAGATCCCTTGAGCTGGAACGAGACAGCCCGCCAATCATCCATGGGCGCAGATGGGGCCGCAGGAGAGTATGGTGTAGGCGGTGGCGATCTTGGGGACTGCGGTTCCGGAGTACTCTGCGCGCCAACCTGGCCAAAAAGAGACGGAACGGGCGGTGCAAGTTTGCCACCTCCAAGAGATGAGGGTCGTTGAGCAGTGGTTGATCGGTAGAACTTGGTAACGCGGGCCTTCTCACCATGCCCACAGTCAATAAGAAAGATGCCTTCACCGCCCTCCTGACCATCATCATTTGCAAAGTCAACCTCGAGTCTGCGTCGCATATCCCAGCCTACACAGGCATCGAGGAAATGGTTTGGCTGGTAGCGCATGAAGACCTCAATTTCTCTTGCTTCAGCAGCAATCTGGCTGTTGCTCAGGTTCATGACATTGGAAGGAGTCCTGGGCGAGTAGGTGCCGCGAACCGCGTTGAGATCCAGCTCGTCTGGGCGGGCCGATCTGCGCGTCACTTCAACCAGGTGCCAGTAGGCGGACCTTCCAGCCAGCCAGGCATTGACCAGAGCGTTACCCGTAGACATCTGCGGCGACACGGGCTTCGGTACCTCGGTGAGATAAAACACTTCGCCAAGCGCGTTCAATGCCACAGCCCATACTCTGCATGACAGTCGGCGTCGCACAGTATAATTTTCATCCACCTTGATCGAAACAATCGGCACGCCAGGGCTAAGAACCCAACGTGCCGTCATGTCTCCATAGGAGTATCTCGGGCCGTTCGGATCAGATCCAAGAGAGTAAGCGGTGACGACACCAAGCGTGGAGCCAGTTAACATGCCACACATAGCTGAAGTCGTGGCGGGGACCGCAGAGGACTTGGCAATCCAGACGCTACTGATGGCTTCGCTGATTTCAGGTATGCGAGGGACATCAGGCGGGTGTTGTTGAGCATCCGGCTCGGAACCGAGGTAGCGCCCTGCAATTTCATTGACGCTGCGGAAGTAGGCACGGCCACCAGGGAAACCTTCACCGGCGATCATGCCGTACAGTTGACTGACGTCCATGCTATTGTCCGTAGCTGCGGGGCCGTCGCCAAGGCCGTACGGCTCGAGACCCGGTGTAACCTCCTCAATTTGGGCCGAGCAGTGGCTATCCTTGAGGCCCCAGCTTTCGATCTTGCCAGTAGTTGGGTCGCTCATGGTGGCGACACCGACGGGGCCGGAGCCCTGGATAGCGCGAGGGGCCTTCTTGCCATTATCAAACAAGGCGTGAATGTTGGTAATGAGCCAGGGGAGCTTCGAGTTGTAGGTCAATACAGCATTTGACTTCTTGCTGAGCTGGCTGGCGCGCATAGAGGAACCGATAGCACCAGCACTAGTGTTGGGCTTGCCCTTGGACAGACTCCGAATGAGCCTGGTTCGGAAGACATACTCGCTTCGCCAGGTAGCAAGTGGCGTCAGTCTACCAAAGTAGCGAGTCTCAGAGCGGAAAGTGTCAGAAGACGGGTGAGACCAAAAGTCGGTAGAAGCTTTGATGAAATTGTCCTCGAGACTAGCATGGCCGGGGAAGTAGCGCAAAAAGGCCATGCGCCAAATGTGGGGGGTAGTAGCCAGCACGTAAAAGCGTTTCGAAACGAGGGCAACGGCGCCATGGGAGTCGGGGTGCAGATGCGAGAGGATGTTGGTCAGGATCTCTGTGGCCGTGTTAGAATTGAGGCATTCATCACCATTGCAGCCCAACTAGAGGGCAGCAACGAGACGTCAGGAGGATAGCGCTCACCATTGGGAATGTCAGTCAAGAGAGTCCCTCCGGGTTCTCCGGCGGCGCGCTTGATGACCTTGAAGCCCAGCGCCTGCTTAGGGGTAGGCGGAGTCAGCGCGTTTTCATAGTCGGCAATCCTCTGTCCGGGGGCAGAGCGAGCGAGTTTGTTGTTGTGACGGTTGTCATGTACGTTGCGGAGCCTCAATCCGCGCAGCTTCTCGTCGAGCTGGTCGACGTCGACGCCATGGTCGACCGAGTCGCGTCGGGGAAGTCGCGACGAGGAAGAGCGGCTGCTGGAAGAGGCGGCAGAGTCGACTCGATAGAGACCGATGGGTTCGTGGTGAACGGGGCCATGTTGAGAGCTGGAAGACGGAGTGGCGGTGGTGTCGGGGGGGTTGCTTGATTCTGATGTCGCAAGGGGCTCTCGGGGCATATAGCTAATGGTCTGAGACTGGGGGGTATTAGGACGGCTGTGCACTATTGTCTTTGCACAGTCGGGACGGCGGAGCGGTTGACTCGGCGGTTGAGGGTTTCGAGAAGGGCTACGGTCTTTTCTGTCGTAGAAAAAGACGCGACGGGGTTGCTAGGCGCAGCGGAGGTGAAGCTTTTTTCGTTGTTTGTGAGTCACTTGGAGGACGGTGATGAAGAAGAGAAAACAGGAGTCGAAAGTGGCCACTGCAGGTACTGCTTAGTTTTGTAGGGATGTACGGAGTACGTACTTACATATGTACATACAATATAGCGCGTCCCACTTCTGCACAAGAAGTACATGGAGTTGGCATGATAGACTATGAGTATTTCAAGTACCTGGGCATCTCTTTTCTAATTTATTAGCCAGCAACATTCCTGTTTTTACTGAACCATTCAACACCGTGATCCGTCATAAGTTATCCGCGACGCATGCATGCCACCTCGTCATCACCACCCTCATCATCACCCGCAGTGCCAACTGCCATTGCCAAAAACAGAATGCGTGTATTTCCATCCCTTGGGTCGCTAGCGATTTACCCGAAAACATGTCCTCCTCAGGCATCCTGATAGGCTCAATTTGCCTCCAGTCTGCGCCCAACGGTTCAGCGAAGCCTAGCACCGCGGCGTGTCGCGACATGCATCCGCTGTTGGTGGAATGGCATCCAACCCTGCGGCGGGGTGGCAGCCATCATCATCACCAGATGTGACCTCATGATCTATTTCAGTCTTTCTTCGTTTCCTGACTAGTGTGCCCTCCCCTTCAATGCTACGTATGGTCGAGTACGTACGTGTGCATGGGCGCGTTGTTTGTCCCCTCTTGTCTTCCTCCTCAGCCCATTGGACTGTCAGTTGGACTCAGAAGAACGCGGTCCCAGTAAGTAGCGTAGACTTGAGAAAAAATAAAATTGTTTTTGTAATTATAAACAAGACGCGGCATTGCTCAACATTCATCACACAACGAAAGTTGAACTTGTACGCGACCTTTGCATCGCTCAACCGGACAGACCCTGTACATCCCGAACATGCCCATGAGAAACACTGGGAAGGATAGTGTGACCGACTTTATCCTCCAATTCAGCGCAATACACCGTCATTGCCTGACTAATTTGGCCATGGCACGGTCAGCTCATTAGATAATGTCCATACAGTAAATCCTCCTCCCCATGCCATCTTGCTTCTCGGTCGCGATGCTCACTCTCGGGACCGAACGGCGCTCCTTTAAGGAAGTGCCGTGTTTACGAACCCCCCTCTTGTACTGTCAAGTCTTAGATGTCATGCATCTATGAATCTGCAACTGCCTCCGATGGCCGACGGCGCTATGGGGAATTCGGCCTTAAAGCTCACGACGCGGTGATAGTGCACGCTAACTCCACGCAAGCCGGAGACGACGGCGAAAACCTCGTCTTGGACGGCCTACTCGTCACGAACGACAGTGCTTGCTAGAATCCAGACCTGTTGCCCAGTCTGATTAGTACATGGCCGAATTGGCCTGGTTTGGGGAACTTCTCTTCGAAAACATGTGCTTGGCTTGAGAGTGTCAAGCATATAAGATGGAGGCCGAGTCAGCAAACATGGACATCTGATAGAAGAGAATTCGAGAAAGTCCTCAGTCGAAATCAAAAGACTTCACACGCATACTTTGCATCCCATCTCTTTTGCATGAAAATGGCCAACTCCAAGACCGTCGTCATTACCGGCGCAACCCGTGGCATCGGCTACGAGACGGCCAGGGCCTTTCTTGAATCCCCCAACTCCTACCATGTCTTCCTCGGCGCCCGATCCCTCTCCAGTGGCAACAATGCTGTCGCTCAGCTGAGGCAAGACTTCCCGTCCTCCGCTAGCACCGTCGAGGTGCTGCTGATTGACGTCGAGTCGGACCAGTCCATCGAAAACGCCGTCGAGACCGTCAAGACCAGCCGCGGCACCGTTGACATTCTCATCAACAATGCAGGTAGGTAACGCAACATCCCCCCTTTCCCATCCCTCTTCGCTGCTCAAAATTCCCCCTCTCGCTCAATCATCATGCTAATTCCTACGCCCCCTCCTCAGGTGCCGCCTTTGACTGGGACGCCGCCGACGGCAAGACCTCGCTGCGCGCCTCCTTCACGCGCGCCTACGACATCAACGTGTCCGGCGCGCACGTCACCACCTTTCACTTTATTCCCCTCCTCCTCGCCTCCCCCTCCCGCGACCCCCGCATCTTGTTCCTCGCCGGGCTGTCCCACCTCACCCTCGCCGCCGCCGAGGACATGTTCCCCTCTGGGCCCGTCGCCGCCGGTTGGCCCAAGACGGTCGCCTTCGAGACGGTCGGGTACCGCTGCTCCAAGACGGCGCTGAGCATGCTGATGCTCGACTGGCGCTGGAAGCTGCGCGAGGACGGCGTGCGCGTCTTCAGCGTCAGCCCGGGCTTCTGCGTCACGGGGCTGGGGAACAAGGGCGAGGCGGCGATGGAAGAGATGGGCGCGGCGAGGACGGCGCGGCAGGGCGCGCGGACGGTGCTGGCGGTCGCGGAGGGACGCAGGGATGCGGATATCGGAAGGATCATTGACGAGGATGGTGTGGTTCCGTGGTGAGGGAAGGACCTGGTGATGGGACGGTAGCCGCCGGCTATGGAGTGATGAAGCCCAAAAGATACATGTGAACTCTGAACCTCGTCAGCGTATACAACCGTTCTGGTATATCTAGCTTAATACCGCGAAAAGCTTCCATAGAAATAAGAAAGGCATTTAAATACTCATCCAGCCTTAATCTAAACGTCGTATTTGAGTGATCCAGAGTCCTCGCAAAAGACTCTTGCCCATCTGCCGCACGGAAGCCATGAAAGCATATTCTCTGTCTTTCAATAGCTTCGCGCTCGTCCACCTCGTTTGACAGCCACCATTCGTCGTGTACCCTTGCTTCCCCCATCTTCACTAGGCAATACCTTGTGGAACGATTCAAACCGGTGAGCCTGTTACTCACCGTAAGACGTCACACCAGAAGTGTACAAAACATGAGAAGCGAGAAGCATGGGGCGATTGCTCTAGACAACGCACACGTTTTCTTCCTTTTTTTTTCTCCGTCTAGAGTCAGCCCAGTTGTGCCCAGTCTACTCGTAATTGGGTCCCAACAACCTCGGAGCCGCTCGCTCGTCTCCTTTTACCCTCTGTGACCTCTACCACCACGGACAATGGAGCCACTGGCCCCTTTTGCTTCTTCTCGCCCATTTCGCCATCAGTCGCTTGTCGCCAGGGAGAGATCCGCACACGCCACCCCTCCCCCTTTCCTTCCTTCTTCCTTCGTTTTGTCCCGACAGCTTGGGCAGCAAAGTTACACTACGATGCGGGGTTGATGGTGGGCTGAGCAAGTCGCAGCACAAGAAAAAGAAACAGCAGCCTGTGACTGGTGCAAGAGGAAACGACAAAATGCAGCCCCCAGTGGAAGAAGAGTAAGGCAAATTAGAAAGTGGTCCGAGAAACAAGGGGCCGAGAGAAGAATAAACATGTGCTGCGTTCTGGAACGGCAGCCAAGAGGCCATCGTCCAATATACATACATACAAACAGCCCGTCCCATGTCAAGAGCGCTGGGATGGGAACGACTGGCCCGCTGCGGCTACGACGTCCTTTCTCGGGGCTTCCCCTGTGCCTGAAATCTTCCTTTCCAAGCTTCGTTAGCATCGGTTCCAGAGTGACGGGACAGCGCCATGGCAATGGTAGTAGTCAGCCGAGTCTTCCACCGGACCGCGATACTGGGACCAGCGAGTTTGTTCTGTGGTGTCATAGCGGCGGAAACTAGTTGCTGCAATGCAAAGCACAAGCCCAGCTGTCCTTTTCATGTCTTTTTTCTTTTTCTTTTCCTTTTTCTTTTTTTTTCCTTCTGTTCCATGAGGAGCTAGACGAACTAGCTGGTCGTACTGGTACATGCATGCATGGTGCTAATCAATTAGTACACCGCTGGGCTTGGAGCACTGTGGAGGATATCCAGAATCAGACCCGGGGGGCCTGGGCAAGGGTCCTCCCAGCGGAGAATAAGAAGAAGCAAGTTTGGGTGTGTGTTCCAACAGACTTGGGGATGCAGAAAGAAAAACGAGAATATCATAGCCAAACTTGTAATATCATGCCAGAATGTGGATACGCCAGCGTGGCATCCCAGGTGTCCTGGAGAGGAGACATGCCCAAATCCAAATACTTTGGTACTCGTTGTTGTGCTTTGGATGACCAAGTAATAAGATTCTGCTTCTTACAGGTCACGGGGAATTTCGAACACCAGTATATTCTCAGCTTGTCGTTTCTCTCCTTTTCCTTCGTCACCATCTTGCCCCCGCGACAAGGCATAGCTGGCAGTTAGTTAGTTAGGCGGGCTGAACGAAGAAGAAATTGCAACATCCAAACGGTTGCTAGCATTCCCTGACCATCCCCGGAATGAAACTTCTCGCGGGAAGGGTGGTCCTGAAAAGCATACATCTGCAAGCCACTGGAGCCGGGTCCGTCCTTGTCATCTAGCCTGACGGGGGATAGACGCTGTGGCTCGGCATTGCTTTGAAAAGAAAGCGTTGTTGTCGATCTTGCCCTTTCATTTTCCCGATAATATGCTTAGGAAACCCCATTTTGCCACGGACGGCGCTTCCTCATGGATACTTGGCAGGCCCTCGCAGCATTGAGCAGAACAAGCAAGCTATGCTTGGCCAAGGTGCTGTTTTCAGCGAGACCCGTTGCAGCTACAGCCAACCAGAACAGAGATGCCGCCTGAATTGCATTTGTATGCAGCCGCACGACGCATATGGGCCATCCCCTCCATGTCAACGACAGCTTCTGCAAGGCCGGCAAAAAGTGGCTTCAAGCCTGTGAAACCGTTGTACACAAGGATAAATACCCAGATAGCGTGCAAGTAAGACAAGATACTCAAGGAGGCCTTTGGTACTTCCAGTTACATGGTTTGCTGGTAGCTGCTTCCTGAAATGGACACGTCAGTATTTTGTCCCTAGCCTTGACATTATGGCGGCTAGAATGATGCCACTCACGAGTTAGAGGGAGCAAAGACATCAGTTAGCAGGCTGTTTTGCGCAGGAAACAGCCTGTTCAACTGCCTCATCGATTGCCTTGCCTTCCTGGCTTGGGCTACTGCTTGACAATGCAGGTCGTATTTCTGGTGTCACATTGCAGCAAGACCTCTCAGAGCGCCAGACGGGCGTCACGTCTCGTCCTGTTGACAGGCAGTCACGACGTCAGGTAGCTTATTATTAGCACGAGATGGCGAGCAGCATGCAAGTGTCCGCAACGCCCAACGTGCCAGTAACTAGGACGGCTAGACAAGCCAGCAGGGGCGCATGGGCCGCGCAGCCCGGAAATTCGGAAACAATCTGACGTGCTCAGGCAGCTTTTTCAACGCTTTGGTCTAAAAAGACGATGGAACGGCTGGTGGAAAAGTGACAACCAAAAGGCCCGATCCGCCCATCAGCAGCGGGGACCTGTGGAATGGCGGCGGCTGTAGCGGCATGTTGATAATATTCAATGCTCGGTCGGTACCAGTCGTATGGTAACACTAATCAATAGAAATTACCCCGTATTTGCGGTCTGGACGGAGCCTTGTCGAACATGGCTATTAATACATCAATACATACTGGTGCAGAGAGAGTGGCACGGTGTCACAGAGGGCAACTTATTCGTAGGTTGGCTGCTGTCTGCTGTCGGTGCAGGCTTCTTTGTTCACTCCTACAGCTTGATGTCACTTGGTATGTTACCGAGAGTGCTTTGATCCACTGGACAATTTAGACACGCCGCCACAGAAGCAATGTACAATTCTTGGCACTTGATCAGCGTGACTGACTTGCTTGGATGCGACAAGAGCCGGTGTGAGCAGGGTAATAACTCGGGCTAATAAATGGCTAGCAGGATGGCGTTGCGTGGTCTTGAATTCTGGCAGCCGATCAGTGCGTGGGATGCATGCTTTACTCGGAGGCAACCTGATTTGCCTGCCTGCCTTGCCTGTTGCTTGCCTTGCTCAGCAAGTTTTGTGGCGCGCGCGGTCTCGAGGCGATTATCAGTTTTAGCAGAGGATGTGATCCGCAGTCGTTACTTGGTGATCTGTACGCCGATGGATGGTTGTTAGCACCAAAATGGCTCAGACAGGGCTCGGAAGCGAAAGCAGCCGTTGAGGGCTGAGGAATGGAGAGCGGCGGGCTTCAATTGAGGGCCGTTAAAATTTGGTAGTTGCGTTGAACAGTAGATACCATGTGATAGCTGTGCCGGAATATGTCTTTCTTTGGTGGGAGACCAGACGGTATAATACAAAACGGTCATCACCCAAGAGCCAGGCTGGACCCAGCGATACTGGTAATAGTCTGTACGCCACTCGGGTCATCCCACACCTAACCACGCCAAATCCGTCCTTGCGCAGGTTGAAATGTTCGACCGCGTCCCAGGTGGTTAATACCAATCAGGCTATAGGGAGCATTGAATCCTTGGGTAGTCAGTGGCCAGTGGCCAGTGGCCAGTCTGCAGTCTCGGTGGGCAGGGCGATGGGTGCGGCAGCGGCAACGGCAGCGGCAACGGCAACGGCAACGACAACGACAACGGGAAAAGACGAGGCGCATGCGGACCGACCCAGGAGCCTGGGAACAAACGGGATGAAGGATGGATGGAGACGGATATGAATGGGTGATGGAGGAGGAGAAATGTGGAAAAGTGGCAGGTGGGAAGCGAAGTGGGGGATTGATGATGGCCACAGGGCTAAATACCAGAGCCTTGGTACAGGTAACAAGATCCAGTGCTTGTGCTGGAGATCAGCAGGGAACCTGAATGTCTTTAATTCCCTGGGATGTTTTAGCATTGTTGGCGCGTTGGCCGCCCGTTACAGGCCCTCGGAGCCGAGGGTTCACAGGCCCTTTAGCAGTCCCGTTGCACTGTATTTTTAGTAGTTCTCCCAAGTGTCAAGTCGTCTCGTCTTCAACCTCAACTCCATCCAACCTCGGCTCCAACCTGGCTTCCAACCATCACCACTACCATCACCACCGCCACCACAACCACCACAATCACCACCACCATCATCTCACCCCGCTCGCCTCTCATCACTTCATTGGATCGATTATTCCATTCACTACCGCCCACACCACTCCTTATCACACCCTCCTTGCCTCCCATCCCTTCTACCTTCACCCCCGCTCCCGCTCCCGCTCCTACTCCCACACCATACACCCTCAACCTCTCCTACAGTACATCCATCCCTGCCCGCCACCCACATCTCATCCTTTCTCCCATCCATCCCTACCTGCATCACAGATCAGTCTGCTGTTGCCGGCTGCCAAAAAAAAAAAAAAAAAAACTTCCCCAGAAGGTAGTTTCCATACTTCCTCCACCGATAACCGACACCCTGTATTTAGTACCAGAGCTACCTCTCACCCCCCCCCCCCCCCCCCCCCCCCCCCCCCCCCTCCCCCCCAAACATTTGCTTCTTCTTCCACGGTTTCTTTTATCATATCCCCTCCACCCACCCTGTCTCCCTGCCCTGTGGCAGTTTTTCCCGACTTTGTCTCGCCTCATGCTTCATTTTTCCTCTACCTCGTACTATCCGTACTCCTCTTCTCGCCTCTCGTCTCGGCCCAATACGGAATCAACCTTTTCGGACTCAGCCTACCAAGTCGACTCCTTCACTCACCTCGCTCACTCGCTTAATTACCTCTCAGCCTGCCTGTCCTACACCATATCCACACTGCATCACCGACAGTACAACACGGAACATCAGCAACCCGTTGCCATTCTCCCGCGCCAATATCAGCCTAATGGCCACCTTTTCTCCCATTTCTAGCAACCAACCGTGAACTTTCACCTCCGCCTAGTTCAACTTGTTCTACACCTACATCCACGTTGCCTCGCCTCGCTCCTAGCCACATCCCAACACCAATTCTCCGAGTCCGAGTTGCCGAACCACAACTTGCTTCTACACACGATACTCGCAACGGCGCCATGAAGCCCCCAGCGAACATCACCTCGGAGCCCTCTGGCTCCTCAAGGTTAGTTGGCTACCTTGTGTCTCACCAGCCTTCTTCATTCGTCAACTGGCATGTTACTTACACAGCCCAGTCGTCGAGCCAATGGTCCCATCGTCACCGTGTCAAAAGCAGAAATCGTGGAGGAGCGCGGCAGGGCCATCTCTACCCGCCTTGGCATGCAAGTTCAGACCTGGGAGATGAGAGCAACTCATCCAGATGAGACGGTGCTTCGTCAAGACAAATCACTCGGCCTCCGCGTCCGCTGGTACTGTCACCGCTGTCATGGTGATATTACCTCCCAAGGTTCCTGCTCCAACTGCTCCCATGCCCGCTGCCGGATATGTATTCGGCTGAATGCACACCAAGATGCCGATGACGACGTAGTTGGTATGAGGCCAACCGTCCACCGCCATCACACCCACGATGAAGGGTACATTGCTTCCGGGCCGGGCTCTTCTGAGGCTGGCATCGTTCGTCAGAGGCGCAACCATACTGGTGGCCCGGATCTAGTCCTCAGAAAACCTCGTCATCGAGTGAGGCGGACTTGCCATGTCTGCAAGGCTGACTTTGCTCAGCTCAGCCAGACGACCTGCGACAAGTGCCAGCACATTCGCTGTACTGACTGTCCTCGAGATCCGTAAGTTCCCCAAACCCGTCCTATGGATTTCTCCGCTCCGGAAAGAATCCAGATTCCCCAGCGGATGCTCAGAGAGCTTACATGCAAGCAGACCAAAACACAGCAAGTATCCGTTTGGCTATCCCGGCGACGTATTTGGCCCCAATAGTATTCCTCACTACGAATGCGCCAAATGCTGGGCTTTGTATCCTACGCATACAGAGAATGGTACTCCATGCAGGAGGTGTGGCGAACCAAAGTCGGACAACTCACCTAGGGCCCAACCGCGCGCTGTCGACCCAGACTACGACCCAACTTTCTTGATGAAGCTCGAGGCGAAGCTGGATGCGCTCCAAGCGCAAGGTGCTGATCCTTTTCCAGGTGATGAGGAATGAACTTGGACATGCTCGGATATTGGGACGGAGTTGCTCAAAGAGGGGGACGGAGTCTCCTGCATGATCGCTGCGCCATAATCCTTCCTTTCTTCATGTTCTATCACGATTCATGGATATGGTGAAGAGATGATCATTTTAGTTGTCTGCTATGTAGGTCAATGGCCTGCAATCTGTAGCTATGCCATATGGACAGGTACTGGGAGTCTTGGGACGGCATTTTAGCATAACAAACATAGAGCGGGACGGGCATTTTCAAGGGATAAAGTTTATACACATGGGACACATACTACACTGTTAATAAATCCTCTTCTCACGACAAATTTTTTTTTTCACCTCTCAGCAGTAGTTTACCACAGTTTAATGCGCAAGAAGCATGAACGAAGAAGCAGAAGGCCATCCATCTCAGCTGTACTGACTGGTACTTGCGCCTCCGGACGAATGAGGAAATGCGGCACAAGGACGAGGGCCACGGCAAAAGGAAGCGTGTGTTTGAGCAAAAAACAAATCCGCGGGACGCATGGGGAAGGATCGCGACGATTGACCGTCTCAAAATGAACCACCTCTGACGTATCCGTCCGCATTCCTTCCACAAGGGAGCGAGGCTACAACACCGCAGCGTGGCTGGACCAGGTCTCTCCCCCCCTTGCTCAGCTGGGACGCCTTTTCTCCGAACAGCATGCACAATACAGAATAAAGAGGGGCAAGGGAAAAAAAAAAAAAGAGAGAGTGATGTGACAGCAAAGATCGTCCCATTCACGTCTCTCGGAGGCACGTCCGGACTGGAGCCCAGCGCCACGTGTGTCGGGAAAGTTATCTTTTTGAATTATGTACTGCGCTTCCAGCCAATCTTCTTCTCCTTATTTTTTCCTTTTTCTTTTGATTTTGGGATTGTCCCGTCTCGTGCTGTCATGCATACCTTCTGGCTTCTTCCCCCGTTCCTGGGGGAAGCGGGATTGGATGATGATGATGGCGCATGGCGCACCGAAACAGTACAGTACGGTTGATCCGAAATTAAACGGCTGGGAGCCCTGGGCTTTCTCTTTTTCTTTTTCCTTCTCTCAGGCATTCATCACATGTGCGCGACGCATCATATTTCTTTGCCCCTGCTGGTGGGAGGCGGTGCGTCTGCATGGTACCAATCCCATGCAGTTTCCTGCTGCCATCGCCAGCATCACACCCAGTACGGAGTACGTTAAACGTCATTGATAAATATCCGGTATCGTTGTTCTTGAATCCCCCTTACAGCTGAGGAAATAGACTACAGAAGCCTCTCGCTTTTTAAAATTGTACAGTTTGCTTCTTCCTTCATTGTACAGTTTGCTTCTTCCTTCATCTCCCTTATATCCCGGTAACCCTTGCCAGCATTTATGGTCCGTAGCGCCACCTACACAGGCAAAGCTCTCTCTCTCTGCATGTTCACAGTTTCCTTGCTCACATGGGCTCACACCCTCCTCATCTCCTCCCGCACAAATGGCTCGAGGTTCAACCTCACGCCCACCGGCACGCTTGATCCCAGCGTCTCCAGCCTGTTGAGCTTGCGGCCGATGTAGCGCCCCGCGCCGTCCATGCGGCTGTTGAGGTACGGATGCTGGTCCTCAATCTGCCGGCGGGCCACCGCAGCCTCGAAGGCGGCCGGGTTGAGGATAGGCATCACCCGATGCGTCGGATAAAACCGACCGCGGATCGATTTCTCCTTGAGCCGCACCCCTTCGCCCACGACGACCCAGCCGTAAAAGGCCCCTGGCTGCGCCTGGCTCCGCCAACGCGACTCGTCACGCAGGGCAACGGGCAGTTGCTCCACGGACACCAGCGTCGACGGGTCCGCCCCCGGGTCGGCACGTTGGTATAGAGTGCCGCGGAAGAAGACGGCGCCCGGGAGGTCGCCCGACGTGTAGATAACGCGCAGCCCCATCACGACCAGGTCCTCAGATACGATGCTAAGCTCCACCGGTAGGTTTCGCACTCGCAAGCAGTCGCCGACCTCCATGCGCTCGGCGCCGAGGAAGCATCCGTAGTACGTAATCGTCTTGGCCTGCACATCCTCCGACGTTGCCGACCACAGCGAGTTGGACCAGTCCACTTTGGACGCCGCCATCTTAGACGCGTCAAGCAGAAGTAAGTCTCGCTTGGAAGGGTCTGCTCCAAACTCGCGGAACTTGTCAGCCCATAGCACCTCGTCAAATATCTTGTCGTTCAGGTCCTTGATCGCCACGGGAGGCACACTGAACGCCTGGAACGGCCGCATATCTTTGTCCTTCTTGGCAACGCTTTGCTGCGGAATCATAGCACTACCCAAAGGTAGCAGTTCGTGAACACCGGGCTGCTGCAGATTCTGCGAAGCGATAATGCCTAAGCGCCACGTATTGCCGTTTTGAAACCACACCTGCTCGCCCACTCGAAATAGGATGGGCGATTGGAGCGACCAACCCATATTGCGTTGCTGCTGATGTTGTGCTTGCTGCTGGCTTGCTAGGTGTGCCTGTTTCCTTGCCTGTTGCTCTGCCTGTTGCTGTTTTAGCTGCTGTTGTTCAGCTGCTGCTTGAGCCTGTGCCGCGGTTGCAGCCTTTGTATCTGGTTTTGTCTGTACTGTTTGCGCCTTTGGAACACATTCCGCTGCTCTAAGCGATGGTTGCCCTGGAATCGTCGGTAATGGCACAGGCGTAACTCTCGGCAGTGCTTTTTCCGGCTTTGCTGGTGGTAAAGTCGGTGTGTTTCCAGTCATCTCGTCCACAGATCCAGCAAGTTTCGCCACATTAGGTGAATTGCAGTGAACACAACAGCAATCCTTGTATTCCTTCGACGATGAGAGGAGCCATATCAGATGGGCCGCAAACTCTTGTGGGGTCTTGAAGAGCTTCGATTTGACTGGGTATCCAGATACCCAGATATGCTTTGACTTTTCATATGGCCAGTATCCTCGGGGAAATTCTACAAGCCATGAATTCCCTTCTAATTGGCTCGTCAATATTGCTTCATTGCCCAGGGCCCAGTTTCGTTGCCAGCGGACTTACCATCGGGATTGGGTGCCAGCTCCATCTTTAAAATTATTCCCAGTTTAACTTTCCACTCGACATATCGAGGGTCATCTTCAGCTAGCCGTATCATTTGCGGTTTCGCTCTGGGTGTCTTGTCTGCTGCGTCTTTGGTAGGTTTCTTCGGAGCTGACGCCGTTACTGGCCAGTAGCCGGGCCCTGTATCTGAGCCATCGCTTCGCGCGACGCGCACGACATCGAATTCTTTCAGATCTGCCATCCTCGTCCTCTAACAGTGTACCACTCGTGTCTTGGCACGCACCAACAGCCTCACTTCCACAACACTGCCTTCGGCTGAGCCTGGGGCTGAGCGGCCGCCCTTTCTCTCTTTGACCACCGGATTAAAGCTTCCCGAAAAAGATCAGTCGAAATTTTGAGTCCTAATCCTAGCCAATTGGCATTGACTGGTTTACGCGCGGCGATTGATATATGTGCCACGCACTGTCGCCCTCAGGTCGTGCCTATGTGAAGCTGTGCTTGGTTATGTGATTGAGTGAGGTCGTCGATTTCCGACGAGGAGCTCTGGACTCTACCGAGTCTGCTGAGTCAGCAACCAGCCATGCACTTACCCTGTAGTGTTGTCACTTTGGTTCCCTTGCTCTTGGAATCGGATGGTTTGGGTTTTGATGGCCTTTTTTGCTTACATGACTCCTTGCAGGCTATTTCTACAGCTTTGATTGCATTTGGCTTGTTTTTATTTGGGTCGGTCGATTACAATTCAAACCGGTCTTTAGTATAGACACCCTTCACAATTTTTGTAAGCCACAGACCAACCCCGGCGTGAGGATTCAAACTGCACGTACTTAACAGGGTGACGTGTTATGTCTTTCCCCCCCCAAAAATCAAGGGCACCCAGCTGCTTCCCCCCCTATAGTCAACTGAGGTCAAGTCTATCTTAGCCATCAGTACCTTATTGCGGCTGCACAAAGAGTTGAACAGTGTTGCCGAGGCGCCACACTTAGTATCGCCCCCGCCACAGCTCAAACGCGTCAGGACGCGCCGAGCTGCCCCTCCATCAGTGCGTGCACAGTTGCACAATTTTCTTGACCAGCAGCAGAAACGACAGAATCAGACATAATGGAGGTCGGGTTCGGAACACAATACAATAACCAAAACCGGGCATTCCTGCAAGCGATGCTTGCAAGGAGTTCCATGACTTTTCGCGAATCGCGCCCGGTCATTGCCGCCATCCTTAACGCTGAAAACGAAGGCAACCAAGTGAGGCCAGAACAAGTTACGGAAGAAATACTCGAAAAATTCATGGGCACAGCTCGAGAAGCTGCGTCCTTGTTCGATTACGAAATACGAAGAACCCAACACCAGACTACCAGGGAACGTGTCTACGCCTTTGTCAATACTGCCTCTGACCCGCAGACCCAGCTTGCGACAACGTTTCGGCATGACGAGCTTGCCTTTGTCAAGCGAGCTCTGGAAGCCATGTTCGACAAATACAACACACCACGAATGGAGGTCATGGCCCTCACCGACATGCAGGCTGTCAAGCTCGCCAGACCAAATCGACGAGAGAGCACCATCCATCGAAGCGATGACGAGCCTACACAATCGCAGGCCAACATCGACAAGGGCCTGAAGCACAGCGAAGTGGAGATAGTGCTGGAGAACCTTATTGGCGGCGGATGGTTTGAAAAGAGCCGAGAGGGCTTTTACTCGCTGACGCCTCGGGCGCTGCTCGAGCTGAGGCCGTGGCTGGTTGGCACATTCAATGACCCGGACGCAGAGGCAGGCGAGTGGCAGCGGATAAAGTTTTGCGAAGCGTGCAAAGATATTGTGACGGTGGGAGGGCGGTGCGCAGAACCTGACTGCAATTTTCGCATTCACGACATCTGCGAGGACGCCTTCTGGCGCATGAAACGCAGTAAGACGTGTACGAGATGCTCAAGGGAGTGGACAGGAGACCTGTACGTGGGCGAGCGAGCAGTGACATCTACACAAGCGTACCAGAGAGGCCGGCGGCAAAGTGGTGGTAGAAGAGGTGACCTGGCAGACGAGGTGGTACGGCAGGCCGGGGCTGGGTATGAGACGGACGACCAGGAGCAATGAAGTAACAAAAGAAGCAGCAATTACAGACCCTTGTATATTAGCGATACCCACAACAGAACGTAACCCAAGACTACGGAGGACAGGCGCGAACAACTAGGATGTACATGTACATAGAGTGCCTCTGCACTGTAAAATCCGCGGCGGGAGGGCGATTAGTTATTGGGTGGCTGGGTGAAGCGTGTTGGATGCGGCGAATCTGGACACCTTTTCTTTGATACGCTGATACCGCCAATATTGAAAAAAAAAAAAAAAAGAACAGAAAAGGGTAGCTGTTGTCGCCTTTTCAAAGGCTGCTCAAATCAGCAACTTGCCGACTTGGCATTGAGGTACGCTGCATAGTACTGAATGCTCGTCTTTGTTCAATCACAAGCTTGTGTGGGTTTCAGCTGGGAGACGGTGGCTCATGACGTCGCCTCCATTGGTGGCGGTGCCAGGGCGGCCTCTTCTCCCAATCGCCGCTAATAATGCCATTCAAGCTTAAGCCCCTGCAGAGTAACTTACCATGATCATAGTCACTGAAACGATATACGAACGATAACGAACCTCCTGCGCTGCTGCGGTCGACTCGTAAATTTACCAGAAAACAAGTGCGCTGAAACGCGATTCAGCCTGCGCCAGCCACAATGCTCGAATACTTTACGTACAAGAAGGTCAAGAAGCACAACGCTGAGAAGAAGGCGAAGCAAGAAGCCGAAAAGGCGAGGGCTTCAGCGGACGATTCCACAACCGCCGACGACGTCGATCACCGAACATCGAAGCTACTAAAAGGCAAAGAGCGCGACGATGGTAGCGGCGAGGTCGACGTGGTCCTGCACGAAGACGACGAGCGCTTCATCGAGAACCTCCTCGCCGAGCACGACGGCCCCGCGCCGCCCTTGCCGCCCCGCGTCGAAGTCTCCGACATTGACTGGCCCTCCGACAACGACGCGGCCGTGACCGCCGAGTCCTCCAAGAAGAATGAGGCCGCCACTGCCACTGCCCCAGCCAAGGACACAGCCGCGGCCAAGAAGCCCAATCGGCTGTCGCTGCTCTTCACGCGCCACAAAAAGCCCGAGGACGGCCTGAAGCCCGAGGACGCCCAGCTGACCCTTACCGAGGCCGAGCGCGAGAAGAGGGACCTTGGCAACGTGCTGGACCGGCTGAACCTCACGGCCAAGAACAACAAGGTCGTGCCTGGCGGCGGTGGCGATTCGGCCGCGCTCCTGGCTCGCTTCACGCAGGTCTTCAAGGACCTGGTCAACGGCGTGCCGACCGCGGTCGACGACCTGACGAGGCTCATCGAGGACCGCGACGGCACCATCGCCAAGGGCTTCGACAAGCTGCCCTCGTCGCTCAAGAAGCTCGTCACGCAGCTGCCCGACAAGGTGACCTCCACTCTCGGCCCCGAGATCCTGGCTGCCGCCGCGGCGAGCCAGGGCATCAAGGCCGACACCGACGACGGCCTCAAGGGTACCGCCAAGAAGATCTTCCTGCCGCAGAACCTCATCGAGCTCGTCACCAAGCCCGGCGCCGTCGTCGCCATGCTGCGCGCCATCGTCGAGGCGCTCAAGACGCGCTGGCCCGCGTTTATCGGCATGAACGTCCTTTGGAGCGTCGCCCTGTCCCGTAAGTTCTCGACAGGGAGTCACCCACCACCACCCCCCCCTTTAGCCCACCCTTTATCTGATACTGACTGTTGATGCTAGTGCTGCTATTTGTGCTGTGGTACTGCTACAAGCGCGGCCGTGAGGAGCGCCTGGAGCGCGAAAAGACGGAGACGGAGACGGAGACGGAGAATACGATTGACGACAGCCACCGCTTTGAGGAGCTCCCGGACGACCCCATGCTGTCCGCGCCGCCGCCGCGCACACTGGTGACGGCTCCGGAAGAGACGACGGCGGCCTCGACTAGTCGGGAGTTGACGGAGCAGGAAGTCGTGCCAACCTCCAGTAGCGCGAAATAACGTACGTATGGGCTCGCTGGATATGATGATTTTGTTTTATGACACTTTGATGAAATGCAAACACCTAATACAGTAAATATATTACTTGCGTGAGACTGCGCACCCTCTGTGTGCACACGTCGTTGCTGCTGCGTAATGGGTATCATTATTCATGGAAACGTGGCTTGAACATGCTGTGCTGCAGGTCAGTCCTCCTCGACCAGTTCTTTGATTTCCTCGTGGCCAGGCCCCAAGTCCACTGCCGCCGTCTTTACATTTGCCCCCTCTGAGGCGGAGTCGCGACCCCCATCTTGCATCCAGAAATCCACCTCGTCAATAATATCGTACACAACATCCTCTGCTATCTGCTCCTTGTATCTATCCGATACTGCTCGCAGCCGCTTGCGTTCCGGCTCTGTTTGCGCAGCATCAATATTGGGCGGTGGATACCAAAAGTTTGGCCCAAAGTTGACCTCTGCCGCACCACCCCGGAATACGCTAATGGCCGGGTAGTACCCCAGCATGCCGTCGTCGAGGCCATCCCGAGCACCGACCTGCGGCATGGGCCGCGAAGCCGGGGGTAGAAAACCTAGTAGGTTCTCGAATGGTGTTCCCATGAGGACGCCGTTCTTGTACACTTTAATGTAAGAATTGGGAAGTGTTCGGAGAGCGGGCGTCGAATGTGTCGGATGGGGTGGGTGCGAGTTGGCACTGGCGGCGGTGGATGGGGAGGGATTCATAAGGTCCTCTAGCTCGCGCGTAGTGTGATACTCGATCTTCTCAAAGTAAGTGTGTGCCTTGAAGCGAATGGGCACGCGATCGCGGACAATATTTGCTCCTTCGGCTGTCGGAGGTGGAGGTTCGTCAGCGGTGTCGACGGCAGGGTGGTATTGGCCGGCCATGATTTTGCGTTGTAAGCGCTCGGAGGGCAGCTGAATTTCTAAGCCGATGACATCGCCTTCACGAATGCCTTCACCGGCTGGGAAGAATTCCTTTGGACGTGACATGTGGACTTTTTCTCCTGCCACATCCCGAATGCCGTAACTGTAGGCGTCAAACCCAACAGGCGCATCCAATGATGCTTCACGTCTCGCCCATCCCATGCGAACATGCTTGCCCCCCTCCGGTTTCGTCTCCCCTGGTGGAGGCGGACGAACTCCTTGTGTGATTTTGCACTCCCAATACCACCTACCCTCGCGCACTGCGACATTAGCGCGTGCCATGCGGAAGCCCCTGTCGGTAGTGACTGTCCGCGCGGATTTGTCAAAGAAGACATGCGATGCGGCATCCTCAAAGCTGAACCGAGGCCCGAATGGCTCCGGCTCAGTCTGGCGATAGTAGATCATCGAAGGGAATCGCGGGTCCGCTATGCAGTGTGTATATCGGAAGTTCTTCTTATTGGCAACGCTGGAAATATGTTAGTTAGCCAAAGGCGCATAGAAAGAAGATGGCAGCGCGTAGTTCCCGGGCGGCTTACTGATCGGAGGTCTCAAAGAATTCTATGGCATCACCCCCGCACATAATGGCCTCATGATGTGGCGTTAAGACAGGCCCTCTCGGAAGGTCGAAGTCGGAGGGTTTCGGTGGCGCAAGCTTGTAACGGAGCGGGCTTGACTCGCTCTGTTCGGCTTCTTCTTCGGTGACCCTGTGGTCAGAGGTCGGGGGAATGCTATCGCCCTTTGCTTCTCGTTTCTTAAGAGTATCCTTCTTTAATCTACCCGGCTTCGAGCGAGATGCCTGTCCATCATCGTCTGTCTGCGAGGGAAGCTCTGCGAATTTAACTTCGGGATTCAAGGGTGATGGTCGCGCAGGGCTGTGCACTTCATCCAGGGCACGTTTTTGAGGAATTGAAGATAGAAGGGCTGTGGACGCAGGCTCCTGTTTCGGTGCCTCCGAATCGGAAGCCATATTACACAAGGCGGAGAAGTTGGGTAAGCAATTGATGTAGATTGACGACAGGCTTGACGCGTTTGCGACACGAACCTCTGCCGTTGCGGTTGCTTGGAGAGTCGCACTCCACCAGACTCAAAGGTGCATATGTATTAGGTCAGCAGGTCCCTCGAATCAAAGATTTAACTGATAAGGGACTTGGTCAGAGAGCAAAAGTGGCTTAGCGTAGAGTGGTTCTGAGCTAGGAAAAGCCCCTTGTGGCTCCATGTGGCGCGGGTCTGCGAAGCGACCAATGGTAGCGAGGTGAATGTAATCACTGCCTAATTGACAGGCTTTGCAAAAGCCGTCAGTGTCAACGCAAGCCTAGAAACCCCACTGGTCCAGCCTACCCAGCGGTGCATCTTGGTGGTGACGCTCCAGATTACCGGTTGTCGGTCCCGTCCCAAGTCCTTGGTGCCTGCGAGAAGCACCAAGTAGCGATTAGTAGTCCAGGTCGCGTGAAAGACGACATCCTGGACCAAACGGAGCAGATTCCGCTGCGAGAGACGTCGCAGAAGATAGGCTGAGGAGCAAAAACAGCTCGCCCCGACTTTGGTAGCCTCCTGAATCCGTTGACCGCCACCGACTCGGAGTTAGCTGGAGTCGCTACACTTTCAGGCAGGCGTCACGACTAAATTGGCCACTCGCCTGAGCCGTTCCCGGGTCTAAGCAACTAGCTGCGGCGACCGACCCAGAGAGAAACTGTTTTCATTGCGGCCCCTTCTTATGATATTTGCCCCCTCCACAACAATCACTTCGACAAGGTCAGAAACGCGTTCTGGGACAACCGTTATTCCATGCTTATCACAGCCCTGCGCCTTGTCACGCCATAGTTATACCCTACCTCCTTTCGCCTGGGCCACAACTTGACCGTGGGGGGACACGTCGACCTCGGAAAACCGCCCCGTCGTTTGATTTTCCCGACGCTGAAGAATCGCCACCAACCTCGGACTGATCAGCAAGCTTTTCACTGGAACATTTGCTGTTCACAGGGCCTCGGGTATTTCCATTCGTCAGCCTCGCAGGATCTGATGCATGCTGCGCTCCGTTTATGACACTACGCCAATTGTCGCTAGTCCACCAACTGCCAGCGCTGCTTTCCAGGTGACGATGGCGGATGCCTCACGACCAGCGACAACTCAGTCGCAACCGCGAACAGCCTTGCCATCTCGCCCTATTTCCAAAGACCGTGATAGTGCGGCTGCCGCAGGTTCCTCGCGACCATCACCGGATAGCGACAACCAGCGACACCCTTTGAAAAATGGAAGCAGAAGCCCAAGCGCAACTAGCACCGCCGAACCATCGTCTAAACCATCGGGGCCGAAAAAGAAACAACAAACTGGTGCCTCTTCTGGTCATGGCCAAGTCTGCAGGTATGCGAACTGAGGTATAACGAAAGCAAGTAGTATCAAGGCTAACCCAATCAACAGCAACTGTGGAACAACAGAAACGCCGCTATGGAGAAGATCACCGCAAGGTGCGACAATATGTAATGCCTGTGGGCTCTATTTGAGAGCCAGAAACTCGGCTCGACCAACGAACCTGAAGAAACCGCCAAAGGTAGTCTCCGCAGAACCGCCTCAGGCAAGCACACTGAAAGCCGGCAGCTCTGGACAAGAGTCTTCACCTAGGGTGGCCGGCGCTACCTACGTTGCTGCAGAAAAGACGCCATCGGGCACATGCCCTGGAGGTGGACGGTGTAACGGAACAGGTGGTGCAGAGGGCTGCAATGGTTGCCCAGCATATAACAATCGCGTTTCGAAGCTCAGCATGCTACAAAGGCAAGGGGGCTGTCAAGGAGGGAGCGAGGGGATTAGCAATGCGCCGGCTCCCATCGACGTGAATGCGCTGCAGGCGCAACAAAACCAAGAGTCATCTGCTATTGCCTGTCAGAATTGCGGCACTACGATTACGCCGTTGTGGAGACGGGACGGAAACGGCCATATGATCTGTAATGCATGCGGTATGTAGGAGAGAGGGCTCTTTGAATCACCAATGCTAATGTGATATTCTTACAGGTCTCTACTACAGGCTTCACGGTGTCCACCGACCAGTCACAATGAAGAAAGCAACGATCAAAAGACGCAAGAGAGTAATTCCATCAAACCAGGAAGAGGAGGGTGAAGAGGGAGATGTGGCAATGGATTCGCGCAGCAACGAGACGACACCTGAACGTGGCACTTTGAATGAAGATGGTTCTGTTAACCTCGGAATACGACGAAAACCCGAAGATACCGTGCCAATGGACTTGGATACGCCGCGACGTGAGGTCAAGCAGCCATCTCCCCTACCAACGCCATTGCCGCATGCATCAGATTTAGCAGCATATCGTCAAGCGCCCTCATCATCTTGGAACGCTCAGTCTTCGTTGAATGACGACAACCGATTGCCACCCCTCGCATCAATGACAGGGGCTTCTGAAAGACAGTCGTCTCTATCGCCATCTTCCTTTATCTCGCCTCGCAGAAAAAGATCCTTTTCTGCGACGGATTCGGTTTCCGTGGTTGGTGCGGATGGAGGTCACGATAGCACAAAGCGTGTGTCGTCTATTCGGGATATTCTGAACCCAGCCTCGAGCTCACGCGATGCGAGAGATGGTAAATCTGAGTATTCGCTTCCGCCGCTGAGGTCGCCGGGCGAGGGATTCACGCCAGTGAACCGACCAAGTGCCTATTCTTCGCGCGACGGCACCCCAACATATAACTCCTATGAGCACGATCAGAAAGCGGAAAGGGAACAGCTGCTGAAGAAAGAGACGGAAAAGATTCGCGAAATGCTCGCTGCAAAGGAGCTAGAGCTGCACAATCTCAGAACCAGTTGAATAGCCACTGGTGGCCACTGGTGGGTCGAGAGGGAGCTGCAGAGACGAGTTGACGGCCGCGAAACGATTGATGATTTTTTTGTTTTATGGCACGGTGCTAATGGCAAGGGGAAATGCATGATCAAAACGACGGAGAAGGTTGGCGGCGCTTTCGGATATTGTTTTTATGTCCTACACCACTTTTTTCGAAAGGCTCAAGGACAGAGGCTGGGTCTTAGGACAACCGGGGATAGGTCAATGCGAGTTTGGGCTAGAGGAGATTGGAAATTTTGACTGCTTTGACTTCCATTAGATAAAATAGTCTTGTATGGTATTGCGCGGCTAGCGGCATGCCAGATAATCTGTTTGTTTAGACCGCTCGCAGCCATTAAGTCTCATGTGACATTCCATGACTGCGGAGAGAAGTTGCCAATACAAGCTGTCATTCAGAGCTTCTAGAAGTATACCGGAGAATGGTGCATAGTATATCGCTTGTATGGGGAAATGGGCCGTGACCGTTACTCGCGATAGTTAGAGCCGTTGCGCCGTTGAAGGCGAGGTCAAGCTTTGGTGCCGATTGGCCGGAGGTGTGGATCCTGGAGTCATCTGCCGGCTCGGCGAAGACGCGGAAGTACGAGTACTGGGCACGAAGCCCAAAATCGGCAAAAAATGGAAAAAAGAGTGAGTGCTGCATGTGCCTTGCAGCCACGAGGCGCTAATAAGTGACAGTAGCTCTTGAGCCTTACAGGTCCTCCGCGACGGGAGGGGGTCTGGGACCTGGGACGGTATTGAATGAAGCGGACGAGGGTCAAAGCGGGAGAGGAGTATTGTGAGATTGAGCATGGAGGCTTTTGCGGGGATTGGAGACTCGAGATGAATGGGATCGGAAGGGACGATGGAGTACAAGATGTATTCGATCTGGGATGCACGTACGGATACTAGGCTGAATGATATGGGCCGAGAGCAATGTTATAGGCTGCGCAAGGGAGTGTGGCGTCGTCGAGGCCTGCCTAGTGAGTGACGTCAAGGGAAGAAAGCTGGGGGCTGATGGAGGATTGGGTGAGACTGGTGTATTTTGCGGTGTATTTTGCGGTGAGGATCCAGGTTACATGGTCAGGCAGGGTTCGATTGTAGCATGGGCCAATGCTTGCTTGTTCTAGAGAATCTGCCGAAAGTGTCGCAGCTACGGCGTGATTTTGGCTTCCGCTTGGATGAACGCTAGTTATTCGGCTGTTTATTCAGCGGAGGAGAGTTGGCTGCGCACTCTATATAGTTGGATCTGGTGATGATGAGTAGACTTGGTCATCGCCATTTACTGGGCATAACCTCGCAGGGGACTTACGACGGCACTAGACATAAAAAGTAGGCGCTGTTAGTACGTATGTATGTAGGTACATAGTTAGGCAGTTTGTTTTCTTGGTTCCAGAAGTGTGTTCTTGAAAGGGTCCTGAAAACGGAACTTTCTTCCGGCCGGCCGGAGCCCGCCCGTGGTCAAGGCTAGATGTACCTGTAGAAGAAACCCCAGGATCTCAGCATAATAAAGGCATCCTATCCTACCAGGAAATCGGTGCTCCCAGGAAATGTAACTGTTGAGTAGGTAGGGCACAAGCGTATTTGATTATTCCCAAAGCGAACTAGTTGAAATGAGAGCTTCTTGAAGATACCTAATGTGAAACCCACAAGCAACACCAACCAGCCAGCACCTGTGCCGCCTACAGCCTCCGCCAACCAACCGAAGGAGGGGCCCGCAAGGTTGGTGGGGAGCAGAAAAAAAAAGTTTACCTCGTCGGCTTCTTTTTTTCTGCCTCTTCCTCTTCCTCCTTCCCTCTCTCTTTTATCCTGTGTAAAATCAGCCACCTTCCTGCTCACGACTCTTCTTCTCTACTGTCGTGGCAGATGACATCGAGGTAGCCAATTGACTTGCTTGAAGGACCTCTGGAAACGAGTCGCCTTGCCTGCCTGTCGCTATCTTCCCCTCCGCTGCCGCTATCCAAACTGGTGCCGAAAACCCCTCCAACACCCCATTGTTTGCTTAGCAGAGGCTTCCCCCGCCGGAGGTAATACGCCTTTGACGAATTACCTGCCAATTTCATAAAAATGTCTGTCAAAATCACCGCGCCCGCCACAGCCCGCTTCCGCGGCTGCCAGGACGATGGCCTCGTCTGCCTCGAGATCGAGGACGGCTCTGCCTACCAAGGCTACAGCTTCGGTGCCAAAAAGTCCATTGCCGGAGAGCTCGTTTTCCAGACCGGCATGGTTGGTTACCCTGAGTCGGTGACCGACCCTTCATACCGTGGACAAATCCTCGTCATTACCTTCCCTCTCGTTGGCAACTACGGTGTGCCCTCTCGCGACACCATCGACGAGCTCCTCGGCGACCTGCCCGCCCACTTCGAGTCCTCGCAGATTCATGTTGCTGGTCTGGTTGTTGCCTCATACTGCGGCGAGGACTACTCCCACTTCCTCGCCCAATCCTCCCTCGGCTCCTGGCTCAAGGAGCAGGGCGTGCCCGCCATGTACGGTGTCGACACCCGCGCCTTGACTAAGAAGATCCGCGAAAAGGGTAGCATGCTTGGCAAGCTGCGCCTCGAGCTTCCCAGCGCTGCCAATGGCACTGCCAGTGACGAGCGTACTTGTACTACTCTGGATGCTTTCGAGAGGACTGAATGGTCCAACCCCAACGCCGACAATCTGGTTGCTCAGGGTGAGTTTCCGTGAATTCTTCTCCATGCCCGTATTTTTCAGTATGCTGATGGTAATCGTAGTCTCCATCAAGACTCCTAAGCTCTATAAGCCCCCTGCGTCCTCTGTTCGCAAGCACCCATCCGGTCGTACCATTCGTGTTCTCTGTGTCGACGTCGGTATGAAGTACAACCAGCTACGCTGCTTTCTCAAGCGCGGTGTTGAGGTCATGGTCTGCCCTTGGGACTATGATCTGACCAAGGCTGCTGGCGAAGAGTACGATGGTCTCTTCATCTCCAACGGTCCCGGTGACCCCGCAGTCCTCGAAACCACCGTCAAGAACATCTCTGCCGTCATGCAAAAGAACAAGACTCCTGTCTTTGGTATTTGCTTGGGCCACCAGCTCCTGGCCCGTGCTTCCGGCGCCGCCACCAAGAAGATGAAGTTTGGTAATCGCGGCCACAACATTCCTTGCACAAGTCTGGTCTCCGGCAAGTGCCACATTACTTCTCAGAACCATGGTTTCGCTGTCGACGCCGAGACTCTGCCCGCAGACTGGAAAGAGCTCTTTGTCAACGCCAACGATGGTAGCAACGAGGGTATTATGCACGTAGGCAAGCCCTACTTCAGTGTCCAGTTCCACCCTGAGAGTACCCCTGGTCCTCGCGACACCGAATTCCTCTTTGATGTCTTCATCAACACAATGGCGAGCTGTGCCGAGAACCCCTCTCTCCTGCAGTCTCCCGTCAGCTTCCCTGGCGGTGCTATTGAGGAGAACGAGAGGCTCCACCCTCGCGTCTCTGTCAAGAAGGTACTTGTTCTTGGTTCAGGTGGTCTCAGCATCGGCCAGGCCGGTGAATTTGACTACTCTGGCAGTCAGGCCATCAAGGCTCTGAAGGAAGAAGGCATCTACACTGTCCTCATCAATCCCAATATCGCTACTATCCAGACCTCCAAGGGCCTGGCTGATAAGGTTTACTTCTTGCCTGTCAACGCCGAGTTTGTTCGCAAGGTTATCAAGTACGAGCATCCTGACGCCATTTACTGCACATTCGGTGGCCAGACTGCTCTCCAAGTCGGCATTCAGCTCAAGGACGAGTTTGAGGCGCTCGGTGTAAAGGTTCTCGGCACCCCCATTGATACAATCATCACTACCGAGGACCGCGAACTTTTCGCTCGCAGCATGGAGTCCATTGGCGAGAAGTGCGCCAAGTCTGCCTCCGCCAATAATGTTGAGGAGGCTCTTGCTGCCGTCAAGGACATTGGTTTCCCTGTCATTGTCCGTGCTGCTTACGCTCTCGGTGGTCTTGGCAGTGGTTTTGCCAATAACGAGCAGGAGCTTCTCGATCTATGCAACAAGGCCTTCGCCGCCAGTCCGCAGGTTCTGGTTGAGCGCAGTATGAAGGGCTGGAAAGAAATCGAGTACGAGGTTGTTCGCGACGCCCAGGATAACTGTATTACTGTTTGTAACATGGAGAACTTTGACCCTCTCGGTATTCACACTGGTGACTCCATTGTTGTTGCACCTTCGCAGACTCTCTCTGACGAGGACTACAACATGCTCCGCACCACTGCCGTCAACGTTATTCGTCACCTTGGTGTTGTTGGCGAGTGCAACATCCAGTACGCCCTGAACCCCTTCTCTAGGGAGTACTGCATCATCGAAGTCAATGCTCGTCTGTCGCGTTCTTCCGCCTTGGCTTCCAAAGCTACCGGCTATCCTCTGGCATTTATTGCTGCCAAACTTGGTCTCGGTATCCCTCTTAAGGAGATCAAAAACTCCGTCACCAAGGTCACCTGCGCCTGCTTCGAGCCTTCCCTGGATTATGTCGTCGTCAAGATGCCTCGCTGGGACTTGAAGAAGTTTACGCGCGTCTCTACTCAGCTTGGCTCATCTATGAAGAGTGTTGGTGAGGTCATGAGCATTGGCCGTACCTTTGAGGAAGCTATCCAGAAGGCTATCCGATCCATTGACTTCCATAACCTGGGATTCAATGAGACCAAGGCTCTCATGGCTATTGACGATGAGCTACAGACTCCCTCTGACCAGCGTCTCTTCGCAATCGCCAACGCTATGCACCAAGGCTACACTGTCGATAAGATTTGGGAGCTCACCAACATTGACAAGTGGTTCCTCCGCAAGCTGAAAGGTCTCAGCGACTTTGGCAAGCATATGTCTCAATTTACTGCTGCTGACGTCGCCAAGGCCCCCTCTCTGCTGGTCCAGGCGAAGCGACTCGGATTTTCTGATGCACAAGTTGCCAAGTTTGTCAGCTCTAACGAGATGGCCATTCGCAGACTCCGCCTCGATGCTGGCATCCACCCATTCGTCAAGCAGATCGACACAGTCGCTGCTGAGTTCCCTGCTTTCACAAACTACCTGTACCTGACGTACAACGCTTCCGAGCACGACGTCAGCTTTGATGACCATGGCATCATGGTCCTCGGCTCCGGAGTGTACAGAATCGGTTCTTCCGTTGAGTTCGATTGGTGCTCTGTTCGCGCCATTCGCACTCTGCGCGCCACTGGTTTCAAGACCGTCATGGTCAACTACAATCCCGAGACCGTATCAACAGATTATGATGAGGCGGACAAGCTTTATTTCGAGAACATCAACCAAGAAACTGTTCTCGACATCTACAGCCTGGAGAACGCTTCGGGTGTTTTGGGTGCCATGGGTGGTCAGACCCCCAACAATATCGCTCTGCCCCTCTTCCGCGCTGGCGTAAAGATTCTCGGCACATCTCCTGAGATGATTGACAATGCCGAGAACAGATACAAGTTCTCCCGTATGCTGGATCGTATTGGTGTCGATCAGCCTACTTGGAAGGAGCTTACCAGCTTCCAGGAGGCCAAGGCTTTCTGCGACAAGGTTTCCTACCCTGTCCTTGTCCGTCCTTCTTACGTGCTCTCTGGTGCTGCCATGAACACTGTCTACTCCGAGAAGGATTTGGAATCATACCTCGCCCAGGCTGCCGAAGTTTCCCGCGAGCATCCCGTTGTCATTACCAAGTACATCGAGAATGCCAAGGAAATCGAAATGGATGCTGTTGCCAAGGACGGCACTGTCGTTGGCCACTTCATCTCCGAGCACGTTGAGAACGCCGGTGTCCACTCTGGTGACGCTACTCTCATCTTGCCTCCTCAAGATCTTGAGCCTACTACAATAGCCCGCATCGAGGATGCCACCCGCAAGATTGGTGCCGCTCTGAACGTCACAGGTCCTTTCAACATCCAGTTCATCGCCAAGGATAACGACATCAAGGTCATCGAGTGCAACGTTCGGGCCTCTCGATCGTTCCCCTTTGTCTCCAAGGTCATGGGTGTTGATTTGATTGAGATGGCCACCAAGGCCATCACTGGCCAGCCATTCCAGGAGTACCCACCCACCGACCTTGCTCCCAACTGCGTCGGTGTCAAGGTCCCTCAGTTCAGTTTCTCCCGTCTTTCTGGCGCTGACCCTGTTCTGGGTGTTGAGATGGCTTCCACTGGTGAGGTTGCTTGCTTCGGTGCTGATAAGAATGAGGCCTACCTCAAGGCTCTACTCTCTACCGGCTTCAAGATCCCTAAGAGAAATATTCTCCTGTCTGTCGGCTCGTACAAGGACAAGAAGGAGATGCTTCCTTCCGTGCAGAAGCTCCAGCGTCTCGGATACAAGCTATTTGCCACGGCCGGTACCGCTGATTTCCTCCAGGAGCACGGTGTCCCTGTTCAGTACCTGGAGGTCCTCGGAAGTGACGAGGACAGAAACTCCGAGTTCTCTTTGTCTCAGCATCTGGCAAACAACATGATTGACCTGTACATCAACCTGCCCTCCAGCAACAAGTATCGCCGCCCGGCCAACTATGTCAGCAAGGGTTACCAGACTCGTCGTATGGCTGTTGACTACCAAGTCCCTCTTGTTACCAATGTTAAGAACGCCAAGATCTTGATTGAAGCTATTGCTCGCTCTTTCGAGCTCAGCGTCTCGGGTCGCGATTTCCAGACTAGCCACCAGACCGTTGTTCTGCCCGGCTTGATCAACGTTGCCGCCTTTGTTCCTGGCATCGTTTCTCCTCACAGTGCCGATATCCAGACTGTTAGCAAGGCCTCCATCGCGGCTGGCTTCAGCATGATTCGCCTCATGCCCCTTGGTGTTGACGGCTCCATCACTGATGCCATTACGCTCAAGGCTGCTCAGCACAACAGCGCTGCCGGCGGACACTGCGATTACAACTTCTCCATCTCTGCTACTAGCAACAATGCTGAGCAGATTAGCGCAGTTGCCGGCGAAGTTGGCTCGCTCTTCATCCCCTTCAACCACCTGTCTGGGTCCGGAAACATCAGCAAGGTCGCTGCTGTGACTGCTCACTTTGACGCTTGGCCTACCAACAAGCCTATGGTCACAGATGCCAAGTTCACCGACCTCGCATCGATTCTTCTGCTTGCTAGCCTGCACAGCAGACGAATTCATGTCACTTCTGTGTCTACCAAGGATGATATCCGCCTGATTTCTCTCAGCAAGGCAAAGGGTCTCCAAGTCACCTGCGATGTCTCAATCTACTCGCTGTTCCTCTCCCAGAAGGACTTCCCCACTGCCGACTTCCTCCCTAGCGCCGAGGACCAGGCTGCCCTCTGGGAGAACCTGGAGACTATTGATGTTTTCTCTATCGGCAGCTTGCCCTACCAGCTAGCTACCTCGCTAGGCCATAAGGGTGATCCTTCTATGGGAATTGCTGAGGCTCTTCCTCTGTTGCTCACTGCTGTCAGCGAGGGAAAACTTACTATTGATGACATCAAGGCTCGTCTGTACACCAACCCCAAGGAGATTTTTGAGCTTCACGAGCAGACCGGCACTGCCGTTGAGGTCGAAGTGGACCGTGCTTTTGTTGTTGCCAAGGGCTCTTTCTGGTCTCCTCTAGAGGGCCGTCGTCTGCATGGCTCTGTTCGCCGCGTCACGTTCCAGAACGCCACGCTGTGCCTGGATGGTGAGGCCCTGAAGGTTCCTCCTACTGGCAAGGACATGTCTTCGCACATGATGGTCCCCCAGACTCCTGCCATGAAGCCCACTGCTGCTGCAGTTTCCGTGGAGAGCCCCAAGGCTCGCCAGCAGGCCGCGTTCGGTACACCTCGAGCTCTCGGCCGCCTTCGTGGTGGCCTTACTTCACCCCAGGCTCTGCCTGCCCAAGGGCCTCGTGGTGTCATCGACGACCTCGGTCTGCCTTTGCAGCTACAGCCGGCCGCCAGCACGTCGTTGCACAAGCTCTTGTCACAGCCTTCATCGTTTAGGAATGCGCACGTGCTCTCTGTCAAGCAGTACTCGCGTGCAGACCTGCATCTCCTGTTCACTGTAGCCCAGGAGATGAGACTCGGTGTTCAGCGTGAGGGAGTTCTTAACCTCCTGGGTGGTCGTGTCCTGTGCAACCTCTTCTACGAGCCCTCGACGAGAACTTCTGCTTCGTTTGATGCGGCTATGCAACGTCTCGGAGGCCGCACCATCAACATCGATACTTCGCAGTCTTCTGTCAAGAAGGGCGAGTCTCTGCAGGATACTCTGCGCACGCTGGCTTGCTATGGCGACGCGGTTGTTCTCCGCCACCCCGAGGAAAACTCGGTCGACATTGCTGCCAAGTACTGCCCAGTTCCTGTCATCAACGGCGGCAATGGCAGCAAAGAGCACCCGACGCAGGCTTTCCTGGATCTGTTCGCGATCCGCGAGGAACTCGGCACGGTCCAGGGCCTGACGATTACTTTCCTGGGTGATCTTCTTTACGGCAGACCGGTACACTCGCTGGTCTACCTGCTTCAGCACTACCAGGTGCAGGTGCAGCTCGTTGCCCCCAAGGGCCTAGAGCTGCCCGCTCAGGTTCGCGATCAGCTCGTTGCCTCTGGCCAGCTGTTGTGCGAGTCTGAGACTCTGACTCCTGAGATCCTGGCCCGCAGCGATGTGCTGTACTGCACGCGCGTGCAGCGCGAGCGCTTTGGCAGCGATGCGGAGTATCAGAAGGTGAAGAACTCGTACCGAGTGGATAACGCAACGCTGAAGAGCGCCAAGAGCTCGACGGTTGTTCTGCACCCGCTGCCACGCAACGAGGAGGTTGCGGAGGAGGTCGACTTTGACCAGCGGGCGGCGTACTTTAGACAGATGAGATATGGCTTGTACTGCCGGATGGCTCTGCTGGCGTTGGTGATGGCCAGTTCTTGAGATGGGATGATGTTGGCATTTCTATATTGTTTTTAGATTTTTAGTTGTGATTAGATTTTTAAACTTGTCCGTCTTGTACCTCATGATACCCCTCGTACATTTGATACATTTTTTTGGTATCATTTGTATGTATGTTTGTTTTATAGTATATTTATTTATTTATGATTACATTTATGTTTATGCCGTGTGTGTGTGTGTGTGTGTGTGTGTATCGTGTGTGTATATCGTGTGTGTAGATCGTGTGTGTGTGTATATTGTGTGTGTGTGTGTATCTCGTGGTCTGCTCCCAGAGCTGAGGAGTGCTGGTACTTGGATAGTGCAAGGAAAGCTGCGAGTTCGGGTTGTCGAAAAAGGAAACCGCGGCCGCGGGTTTCTGCCAGCTGGCATGGGTGTTTAAACTTTTGGCCTCGTATGCAATAAAGCTTGATTATTGAGGAGAAGCAGGCTGGCTGGCTTTGGTGGTTGGTGTCAAGCCCAGGCCGACCCGACATGTCAAACCAAGGGCGCGCGCAGAATTGACAAGTCCTGCCCCACAGTTGGTTAGGAGCGGCGGTTCACCGGCTCTGCAGGACTCGAGAAGGCAGCTCCGGATCGGACTGGCCCCGCTGTTGCGTGACTCGGACCAGCGCGGTGATGCTTGAGGTACTTGTGTATGCGTGTATTTTCCGAGAAGCCTTAGGTATCTTGGCCTTGCCAAGTTGAACCGTTTTTCCTCGACCCCAGGAGCCTCCTGTTCAGAAGGCTACAGAAGGTTGCAGAAGGCTCCATGCACAAGACCTTCAGCACCAAACAACCAAACAACCACCAACGGACCCCCCAAATTCAGGGCTCCCCACGCTAAATCCACCACTTCCGCAGCACGCAGGCAATCCCCGCTTTCCTCTCCTCTCCTCCTCTCCTCCTCTCCTCTTGTGACCCAGAAGATGGCCAGCATTAACAAAACTCACGGCCATCCTCCGTCCTCGCTTCTCGACGGGCCTTTCATATTCACATCATCATATCGTCTGCCAATATTCCTTTGATTTTGTGACGCACAGCTCTGACCTCTCTTTGCCTATACACCATCTTGCATTCCCGGCCCATATACTCCAGCCGTTTCTCACTAATAATACACCTGCCCTGGCCCGCTGGCCGGTATACCCGTCGCCGTTTGCACCAACCCGTCTTACACGCTTTTGACAACAAGCGCGCGCCCTTGGATGCCATCTGCGATCGTGCCTTTGCAAATGAGACGCCCAGTCCTGCCTTGATCTAGCTCACGCCCTTGGTGAGCTCTTCTCTCTATCCTAGCCCGCCGGCGACCCGCCTGCCTGCCCGCCCGCCATGTCCGCCTCCTTGGACGAGTTTGTCCACTGGGACGAGGCGGCCGCTGCCATTGGTGACACCGCCGATTTCCAGCTTGACGCTGAGAACCTCGACCTGGTCCTCGAAAACGTCGACGACGATGACTTTGGCTTCTCTGCCCTACAGCACTACTCTGGTGACGCAAACCTGGACCTCTTTGCCATCCCCGATGCCATCATGTCTGTCGAGCACCATCACCCCATCTCCGCCGAGGAGGAGGCCTGGTACGAGACGCCCCAGGTCGCTTGCGCGCACTGCGCCGGCGGCGGCTTCTCCTGCAAGAAGATCCGCGAGGGTAACTACAAGGGCTACTGCACCAGCTGCGTTGCCCTCCGCGTCGAGTGCAGCTTTGCAGGTACCGCCGCTTTGGCTACCGCCAAGGCCGCTGCAGAGCCGTCAGCCGCCTTCCCTCCCAACCCCTGGCCTGTCATGGGCCAGCACCCAAACGCCATCTTCTCGACCTTTGCCCCCCCGGATGGCGCTGCTGTGCCTGCTCCAGCTGCCGCTCTGGCCCCGGTTGCGACTTCTCAGCCCGCCGAGGTCAATGGCATCATTGCCCCGGTGCCCGTTGCGCCGCCCAAGATTGGCGCTCGCTTCTCCCGTGAATCTGTCCGCATTCTCAAGAACTGGCTCTCTACCCACACCAGACATCCGTATCCTAGTGAAGAGGAAAAGGAGATGCTGCAGCGCCAGACTGGTCTGAACAAGACCCAAATCACAAACTGGCTTGCCAATGCTCGCCGCAGAGGCAAGGTCCAGCCTCCCCGATCAGTTTCACCCAACATCAGAAACTGGTCCACGCCCGGCTCAATGGACATTCCACAGCGTCGTGGAACACCAGCTCTGGAAGCCATGAACCCCCTGCAGCGTTGGCAGGTCTCTCCTCCGGAACACGAACCCGCCTCGGTCAGCGCCATTGCCAGGGCCGTTACGGCTTCGTCTTCCGCCCTCTCATCTGGGCTCAACTCACCATATAGCTTCAACTACACCGACGACGGCTCCAACAGATCGCTGTGCAAGGAGTCTTCGGCATCCAGTGTGGGAACCTCGCAGTCTAGCAATGGATCATTTGGCTCGGCATACTCTCACGGCTCCAGACACTCTTGGGGCTCATTCGGCTCGGCACCCTTCAACAGCCGCGGCCGCCGTCGCCGCCGTCGCAGGGGCGCCACCAAGCCCGACGGCAGCGCGAATCCTGCTGCGCCGTTGAAGACGTTCCAATGTACCTTCTGTACCGAAACGTTCAGAACAAAGCACGACTGGCAAAGACACGAGAAATCGCTGCACTTGTCTCTCGAGCGCTGGGTCTGCACCCCCGATGGGCCTCGCGTCTTGAACCCGGAAACGGGACAAATGTCGTGCGTATTTTGTGGCATCGCCAACCCGGATGACGCGCACATTGACTCGCACAACCATTCGGCCTGTCAAGAGCGCGCCATGGAGGAGCGCACATTCTACCGCAAAGATCACCTGAACCAGCACCTTCGATTGGTTCACAATGTCAAGTTCTTGGACTGGGCGATGAAGCCGTGGAGGATTGCAACGCCCGAGATTCGCTCCCGCTGTGGGTTCTGCGGCATCGTAATGGATTCCTGGACTATTCGCGTAGATCACCTTGCCGAGCATTTCAAGACTGGTTATTCCATGGCTGACTGGAAGGGTGACTGGGGTTTCGAAGTGCCCGTCCTCGACATGGTCGAAAACTCCATCCCACCCTGTATGCGACCGCTCAAGTTTCCCATAGACAACATTCCGACGACATCTGACCTTTGGTAATAGATCTGATTCATCATGAGCGAACGTCGCCTATGCCCTATGTTGCCCTCCAGTCTCCACCGGCCTCTCCGCGTAATGCGTACGAGCTCATCAAGCTGGAGCTCGCCAACTTTGGCTCCTCGTACTGGGAGCAGTACGGCAAGCCCCCGACCGACGACGAGCTTTGCCTCGAGGGTTGCCGTATCATTTTCGCCTCCGAGTTGCTGTCCATCCAGGGTATCGCCACCCAGGTGTCCTGGTTGCGTGACATTGTTATGAACGACGAGGAGATTTCCCGCAAGGCCAAGTTTGGGCCCCTTCGCCGTGCCGCCGAGCTGCAGAGCCTCAAGATTAACGGCAAGGACAATCTTTTCGAGGAGTGTCCGATGGAGATTCAACTGCATCAGTTTGTCAAGGCCAAGAGGTTGCTGGGCTTGATTGCCATGGACGACGAGCTGCAGGAAGAGGCGTGCCGGATTGTTGGGCGTGTCGAAGAAATGTGCACCCATCCGTCCGAGGCTGTTGCTAACTGGCTGCTTCGGCTCATCAAGCGGTCGACTTCTTGGCTATCTACCTTCCGACGCCGCGCGCATTTGCCCCGGACAGAAGACATTAAGAGCGACACCATTCGCTCCAAGGACCTCACCTCAATCGACTCGACGATCCACAGCTATTCGAGGCTGGAGCGTGAGCTTGGTGACTACTTGAAGGCCCAGCGCAGCTTGGGCAAGGACCCCTCGGACGAGGATCTCCAGCGCCAAGCGCGTCTTATTATCTACGAATTCGACGACGGGTGGAACCAGACGGCAGCCGACAACATGCAGTGGCTAGACGCTTTCAAGGAGCGACATCCCCTGGCGGAACAGACGCCAGGTAGAGCGGAAAAGACATCCCCGGAACAGTCTGACCAAACCACAGCCGTTGGGTCACCGAGTTCCCAGTGGGCGACGCAGAGCAAGCGGCGGCCGAGCGTTGGAAGCCCCTCAAAGAATGTCGAGTTTATCCCATTCGGCAAGCCCAGCAGCACCCCGTCATTCTTGAACGACGCAAACTGCTACCGCCGTCTTGCCAAGGAGCTGAAGCGCTGGGTCGTGTCCGCCATGTCGCCCAACAACCCCAACCGCCACGTGCCGACGGACGAGGAGCTGCGATACCAAGCGCGCTGGATCATCTACGACGGCGACGACCCGTGGAACCAGACCGCCGCGGACAATGCCGAGTGGCTGCAGCGTTTCAAGCGCGACGTGGGCATCACCAAGGACGGCGGGCCCGGCCTGCCTGAGAGCTACGCGTGGGCGACGGAGCAAGGCGGCACGGGCTTCGCGCCGCCCTACGCATGCCCCAAGTCGGAAGGCGGCGGCGGCGGCGGCGGCGGCGTGGACCCGTTCGCGGACAGCGTGCCGGTGGCGATGCGCGACGGCGCCAAGGCCGTCATGGCCGGGCCGACGGCCGCCAACAGCTTCCTGGACGCGCTCGCGGCGCCGCACGCCAGACCCGCGCGCGTCTTTTGCTTGCGCGAGCTCGAGGCCGGCCTGCTGCGCTTCGCCGAGGGCCACGCGCTGGCCAGTGGCGGCCTGGCGCCGGACGACGCGGCGCTGAGGGCGGAAGCGAGGCGCATCATGCGCACGGACTACACGGCCGCGGACGACGATCAGCTGCTGGGCAAGTTCAAAGAACTGATGCGCGAAAAGATGCCGTTCCTGAGGGCGGAGGCTGCGGCGGAGGCGGATGCGGATCTGGATCTAGATATGCTGCTGCTGGGGCAGGATGGGATGGACTTTGAGCTGGTGCCGGACTTTATGAGCAGTGCTGTCATTGGCACGGACGGAGAGGATGGCGGTGCGCCGCTTTTTTAAACGGTTGTGGAATATCTGGGGGTTTGTTTGCTTGAACTTCAACATTGATACCAAAGGAGGGACGGATTGGGATAAGGGGTTGCGTATATGCATACCATTGACGAGAATACTTTACGACGGATTATGCATTCCATGGGGGTTTCAAGGGTTTTCAACATTATTGTTGCACATGAAGACGGACTACATTCATCAGATTGGCATACTTTTTTTTGTTTCCAACACTGTACGTTTCTTGAATATTATATACTACATACACACACACAATGGATACTCTCAGCTTTACAATGCAACATAATAGAAAATCGAAAAAAAAAAAAGAATCTTTGTGCGGAACAGTAGCTACTATGTGGCAGTCCTCCCCTGGCTAGTTGCCTTGCAGAAAATGATTCTGCGTGTGCTTGACCAAATTATCCTCGGCTCCCCGCACTTTCGTCTCATACTCATGCTGTTCACGATTGGGTTGTTCTCTCCAACTTGGCTTGCTTCATTGCGTTATATACTCTTGGTACTAAATAACGCGGCCGGGAGACATCGAGATCCCATCCATTCTCCTCCTGAAGCTCGCCTAGCTCAGTTGGTTAGAGCGTCGTACTAATACCTGGCGAACACCGTCAATCATTGGTAATGCGAAGGTCGTAGGTTCAATCCCTGCGGTGAGCAGAACTTGTTCGGCATCTCCTTTTTTTGCCGACCGTGGCCTCCGACGATATAGGGTGGGGAGAGAATAAAGCCCGTTATTACACTTTTGCTAGCAACGGCCTCGTTATACAGTGTCCCATTAATACAATATGTACATACATAGATAGGTAGGTACCATCATCATGAAATCGAGCGCCTGCCGATCTGAGCAGTATGTTGCTCGGCCAAGCACCTCCTCGAGATGGCAGGAACCAATGGGCAATGTACATCAACTCTTCAGCACAAACCACCACCTCTAGTCTTTCACCATCACACATACACTATCACGCATTGATAGAGCGTCTAATATCATCGTCAAAATGTCTTATCGTTACACTCTCCCGGCCCAGCGCAGTCCGTATGACTGCCGACAACGCGAACTCTCTCTCCGCAGCCAGACAATTTCCAACGCCATTGCACGCTCTCCCGGCCTCAAGCGAGCAAGCCTGTACGCAAATGCATATGCATGCTCGAGGGATTCTTCTTCCTGCCATCAGTCATGGTTTAAAAACTTCAACAAGGAGAACATCAAGACAAATGCATACCCAACTTCATCAAAGTATGCCTTCGAAGAGGACAACTGCCAGTATGATCCCGCTGATCCAACAACTTGGGGCATCAAACCTCTTCCACCACTACCTCACGGTAACTCAGAATCGATCAAGGCTCCTTCAATCATATCCAAATCGGACGACGATGCGACGTTGATCCAGAGTCCAGTCCTTTCACCCTGTGAGGAGTCCTCGGCAGACACAAGTAACCTCGCTCAACTCATTGGAGATCATCTAAGACTTGACGACGACACACATCGTCGAACCACGTCCTCCTCCTATCATGGCCCAGAGAGTGAGCCGTCTGGAGTGCAATCTCCCATCCATAACGGCCATGCGAATATGCTCAGTGTCACATATCTTGCCAAGTACGGCAAAACAAATGACCGACTCTCAAACCTTCGCTCCGGCTCTCCATCGTCCGCAACGGGTGAATTACTTCTACAAGACGGCAGTAATCCGCAAGACGACTCATCTTCCTTGGTCAACGGCTAGCAGACACGGCCTAGCGAGATGGTTGAGCCATACGCATATCAACGCCAAATTAGACGATATCGTTTCGCTAGCTCGCACAGCGAAGGAGCTGGCCATGGCCATGGCGGGGGATATGATGGAGCTGACGAAACCATGCTCAATAGCCGAGTCACTCAATCACCAACCCCGTCTTTCAATGCCCGCTCTCCTCTTCGCAGAGCAAAACGTCGTGCTTCTCATTTCTCTCTTCGCAGCCTGGGTAAACCTTTCTCCAAGCGAACACACCTTGGCTTCAGAAAGTGGGCTAGCTCGGTCTACCGTGAGAGCAGTCGCCGCTTCAATGTTGCAAAGCACAAGATTACTGGCAAGACTCGGCGCCAGACAAAGATGCCGGAAGCACCAGAACGCAAGGAAAATGGAGTGCAGTCGACGCAAAATCGTCAAAAGAGCAACGATTGGTGGAAGGATGGAATTGCCAAATATCAGGCATCGAAATGGAACAAGATCGAAAAGGCATGACGGAGCACAGACTGATTGAGGGTAATGTTAGCTGGTTCAGCTCATGAGCGTAGGTCATGATGATGCTGCATTCGAAACGCTTATATCCAAGATGCATAAATACAGAATAGAAAATGAATGAAGCAAGTTTATAGGGCCAGTCCGTGGCAATCGTGACGTCTTTTGTGATAGGGTCAGGGTCCCAGCATCAAATCAGATACCTGAAGCTGTTTCCCGAGCTCTTGTGTCCTGAAGAGCCAACCAATCTCTCCGCCTCGTCGCAGTCTTGGCCAGCAATACCATGACCGTGGCCGTAGGCGCCAACGCCCTCCTTTTCATCAAGCTTGCGGTTCAGACGCTTTAAGTGAGAGCGAAGCGCAAAAGCACACACGGCAGCCCCCAGCAAGACGGCGGCGCACACGCGGTGGCCCGTGGTGTAGTACGGGGCGTCGCGGTCGGGGTAGAGCCTGGTGCCGATGAGGGTGCCAAGCTGGCCGATGAGCTGCATCATGGCGAACGTGGCTCCGCGCCGCGTCTCGTCGGGCTGGCTGTTGATGCCCCAGGTAATAATAAGGGTGACAACGTTGAAGAAGCCGACGGCGGCCGGGTAGACGGCGAGGTAGCGGGCCCAGGCGGGCAGGCGGAGGGGCTCAGCGAGACCGAGCACAAGGTAGCCGGCGGCGGAGCAGAGGGCGTGCACGACGGTGGGGAGGGTGCGGCCGGCGCGGCGGTCGGACAGCCGCGCAGTGACGAGGACGGCGACGAAGGCGACGAGGTACGGCGGCGCAGCGAGGGCCTGCGCGGCGAGGCTGGAGTGGCCCATGCTGCGGATGATTTGCGGCAGGAAGACGGGGAGGGAGGAGTAGGCCATGTTGACCATGCAGAAGATGGCGGAGGCGAGGATGGCGATGGGGTCCAGGGCGACGGAGAAGACGGCGCGCCACGACAGCCGTCGTCTGCGCGAGCCCTGAGCGCCACCGTCGTCCGAGTCGGCGGGTGGCTTCTCCCCGCGGAGGCGGAGCGTGGCGACACGCCGCTCGCGCGGGGTCAGGTACGGCGCCGACTGCGGGCTGTCCGGGACGACGCTCCACGCGAGCACGCCCGCGAGCACGGACGGCAGGCCCTCGACGAGGAAGAGCAACCGCCAGGGCGCTATGGGCAGGTCGAGCGCGCGCGCGAGCCGCACGACGACCCAGGCGAGGCTGGAGGCGCCGGCGCTGGCGAGGGGCGCGGCGGCGATGAAGGCGGCGACGCGGGCGGTGAGCTCGCGGCGGCGGTAGAAGAAGCTCAGGTAGTAGGGGAGCCGGCGAAGGCGGCCTCGGCGACGCCGAGGAGGGCGCGGAGGGCGACGAGGGCCGGGTACGAGGGCGCGACGGCCTGCAGCGAGGCGACGACGCCCCAGGAGACGACGGCGAAGGAGATGAGGAGGTGCGCGGGGAGGACGCGGTAGAGCAGCGAGAGCCACTCGAAGGAGGCGTAGGTGACGTAGAAGGCGCTCAGGGAGAGGGAGTACCACCCAGCGCGGGGCGGCGTGGTCTGCAGGTCCTCCTCCATGCCGGCGATGCGAGCGTTTCCAACGTCTACGCGGAGGGGGGTTAGCCCGTT